TCGCAACGTGTGCGTTTAATGGAGGCGGTTACAGGCAACGGGGAAGTGACACTGCGGGCATTTTGGCCTTGCCAAAGTCTGCACAAAAGGGAAAATTTCAGTAGATGTCAAGGGCATTTATGGCAGTTCTCTGAGAAGCGTCCAGGATTTGCAACGCTTTTCATTTGGGCAGAAAGACTGCGCCCAGGACGCTTTCAATTCCCTGCAGCTGCTGCAGTCTCCTTCCTTGTGGGTTTGGCATTGCCCGGAGCAGCCACAGGGAGCTGCCCAGCCTCCTCCTTCCTGGCCCAGAGGAAGAGCAGCCCCGGCACACGGAGGTGTGCGGAGCCACCCTCGGGAAAGCGCCTGCGTTAGAGCACGGGCCGCATTAACAGCAGCTGGGGAATGCAGGAAAATTAACGTTCCCCCAAGCGCCACAGCTCTGTTTGCAGAAGAGATTTGCACTGTGGAGAGCACCGTTGACTTTCAGGAGACTGGGGCTTTCAGGTGCCTAACTCACTTTTGGAAACGTGCTTGCAAATCTTCCGTTGCACTTGGAAAATATTCCCCACGTGTCCCCAGGCCCTCTCCAAACGCGCTGGTAATTGCAGGTTGTCCATTAACCACAGTTTGCAGCTCCCTGCTTGGAGCTGTTGTGCAGCCTGGACCCAGCACATGGGAAGTCACAAGTTCCCTTAAACCCTGTGGGAAGGATGGAATGATCTGGAGGGCACGGAGCACGGGGGCATGGAACAAGAGCGTCCGTAATGCGGACCAGCTTCGTGCTCTGTGCCCCAGCGCTGCTCCCTCGGGTGGTGGGAGAGTTCCTGCAGTTCCAGACAGGTAGGTTTTGAGAGGCAGGCGCCTCATCTTTCATGTGGACTTGTGGCTTGTGGTGTTTTTGAAAAGCCTCTCGTGCTGAGCCGCAGCTGCTGCTGGGGTTTGCGCCGCGTCTTGGTTCTGACTCTGCGTGCGCTGCGACGCTGAGCACGAGCAGCCCTCGGGATCACGATGCTCCGGGAAGGAGCCCTCCTGGGAATGTCTGCGTCTTCCCTCTGCCTCTCCCTGCTGGCGCCCGCCCGGCCGAGCTCGGAGCGGCTGGGGCCCCGTGGAGTCCCCCCGGGACCATTTGACTGGGGGGTATCAGAATCCGGCACCATCTGAGTGGCACTTGCAGGGACTCCTCGTGCAGTGGGTCAGAGCTTCCTTTAAGGGCAGCCTCCCTGAGAGCTCTTGTAAGGACGTGCTTTATAGAGTGCTTAAGGTTGGAAGGGACCTCTAGAGGTCATCTAGTCCAACCCCCTGCACATGCAGGGTCACCTAGAGCACGTGGCACAAAGATCTCCAGAGAAGGAGACTCCACAAAGCTTCACCGCGAAGCTTCACTGTGCGTCATGCTCGAGGCCTTGCGGACGCGATCGCGTTGTGTGAGGACAGAAAGCCCTCAAGTGTGTTTTCATTTCCTGGCAGTGCTGATCAGGACAGCTGTGGAGCTGGGGCCATGGAGGACAGCCAGTGTCGGGGGTGCCAGGGTCCTTGGAGCCACCTGCAGGGTTCTGGAGCCCCCTTTCTGGAGAGGAGCGGGGCCTCTGCTTGGTCTCCCTTCACCTGCTCCCCTCCTTGTCCCTTTAATCAAAGTGACGGTACACAAGCAAAACCCCACCTAGCAGGGACCCACGCCACAGTTTGAGAGAGGAAGAGATGGGAGTCCCACCACCGGTCATGCCACCAGCACCCGTGGTCCTTCCTTCCAGCCTGCTCATTTCCTCCCTCGCACACCTTGGTCTGTCTTCACAGCGCTCCCTTCCTCCCACCTCGTTTTCTCCTCTG